AACTCTTCAGAAGAACTTAAAAAAAAAATACGGAAAAAATAATCAAATGAAGATTCATTTTTCCTTTAATTGTGGTATCTATTTAAAATTGGGTCAATGTACCATTAACTTACTTTTTCAAACAAGTATTTTTTAAGTTGAAAGTAAATAGTTTGTATAGGGAAACTAAATGAAAAATGTAAAATTATTTTTTTTTCTACTTGGACAAAGAACATTGCAATATTTTAATAAAAATTCTTGAAAGTAATCAACCAAATTTTTGCTAAGAAGTACACGATGTTACAAAAAATTAATTTTGATATTTTAAGAAGTAATCACCCTTATCAATGCGTTGTAGCTGCTGGCTGGACGAGATATCGAAAATTGGTTTTGAAGGTTTAGAAAGATTACTCTAGAGAATCGGGTGGTTTAGATAGGCTGTATTTTATGCTCAATGACGGTCTAGAGATTACGAGAAGTGTGGTAGTAAAATGGTACGTCTGTGTTATAAGGGTGCGATATACCTGCTGCACCGGCCACGTCAATAAACTAACAAACTATCACCCTTATTCTGTACAGTATATGACTAAAAGTGATATTAAATGGTTATCATGCCGTAGTAAAAGTTTTACAGATTAGAAAAGCGCTACCTCACCTAGTAAACGAATGATGTATGCATCTTACAGAATTAGTATGAATTTCAAAGTAAACTGAATAAAAATTTTATTTCCATATTATAAAAACATTTTCTAAATTTTGAGGGAGACAGAGTATTTAGGTTAAATTTTTTAGTTTAGATTTGTAAAACTCTACCAGAAATACATGTATAAAGAAATTCTTGTTTAAAAATTCAAAGCCTTTAAAAGAGCGCGATTTAATCAAAGTAAAACTTTTCGAAAAAGAGAAGTAGATGAAAGAAAATTTATAAAATTAAATTTTATTTCGTAAATATTTTTAAATTAATTTAATAAAAACTTTGTGTTTCATCCCCGATCAATGTTGTTTCGTTTCATGTCCCTTTGCTGTTTTAAATTTAACATATTCTTTGATATTATCACTGACCAATGATAACATAAAAAGGGAAAGTATATGATAGCCTTTATGAGAACAGAAAAAGTATAATATTTCTTTTATATTACTGGCCAGAAATATTTATTTTACCTTTGTATATCTACATATACATATACGTACATCCCTTGTGAATTTTATTATCAAAAGCACAAAGGCAAAACAAAAATAAAATTTTTGAGAAATAAAAACAAAAAATTTTTAAGTTTTTTTTTTCGCACAGCCCAAAAAAATGGCTTAAATATAAAAATATTCAGTAACAGTAAAGTAAAATAAAGGTAAACAGAAAAAAAAAGAACAGAAAATAAAATTAAATTTACTGTTATCGAACCCATGGGAATTTTCGCGATATTTAAACGGAAAAATGAATTTCAAATTTGCATTTTTCTACAGTTGAATTTCATCTTATTAATGATCTCTGGATTGTCATTTAATACACTTAAATAAAAAAATTTAGAAATTATGAGATGTTGGGCTCAAGTTTTTGAAATTAAGATTTTGCTAATCAAAAAATTTTAGAAAATTAAAGGCAATGAGTAGCTTCAAGTATTAAGAATATTTCGAATTTCTATTTTAATATTACACAAAAATGAAAAAACGTTAACAGTCACAAATATTTATTTTCATGGCTCTTTTCTGCATTGCATTCTGCGTCTTTTCTGCATTTCTGCTATTGCGGAGCATAATATAAAAATTTGATTTTGGTACATTGAAAGCTCATTAAAAGTTACACGAAAATTCGAAAAGTTTGAGAAATAATTAAGAAATTCAGTATTAATTATACCAATCAGGCGAATTCTTTAGGCCAAACATTAAATTATCATGCAAAATAATATTGCATAATAAGAAGCAGAAAAAATCATCATTTAAGCGCACAAAAATGCGGCTATGTACCTAACAAACACAATTCAAATTCCTAGTATACACGTCAAAACACCATTTCAAAAACGCCGAAACAACGTTCCCCAAAACAAGTTATACAAGATGAATAAAAACCATGTCAGCGATTAATCTACTCTACTACAATAATAGCCTATCTTCATATGGCGGCAACCTGTTGGTATTAAAAGGTGTTGGCAAAATCTTCAAGTTCATTTACATGACGTTCTTCTGTGTTCAATGATAAATGAGTGCCAAAAAATATCCAAAAATAATGGACATGAAAAGTTTTTTGCATATTTTTTATTTTTTTTTTACATAAATTTTTGTGTTTCTTTTTCCTTACAGTAAACGATTTTTGTAATAACTTTATTAAGTTGATATTGTAAGGACCCTCAACTTTACAATTAAAAAACAAAAAAAAAAACAAAGTTTTTTGTGATTTATTTTCTCATAGGATTCACTAATAATTTTTGTTTAATTCTCAAAGTGAAAATTTTTATTTTGTGATTTTTTTACACTTTTCGTTTTTTTCGTAAAAATAAAATTTTATTCTTAACAAGGATAAAATTTTGATTTTGTATTTATAATTATTAAAGCTAGAATTTGGAGTATATTATATGACAAAATAAAATTTGCTGATTCCAGATTAATACTTCAATTATCTGTCCATTCTAGTATATAGGATGAAGAAATACCTTGAAATAGCAAAAATACCTTGAGCCTTCATTTTCCTATTCATATTTGTTTAGTGGGTGCACGTGTTTTGTATGCAAAATATTAAACTTTAGAAAATTTTTCAATTTTTAATTTTCCAAAAACCTACTTATATTGCCTTCGTGAAAACCTATATATTTATTGTGCACTTGTACAGCTTTAGAAATATTACGAAATATTTTGCAACATATTGTATTTCAGCTGAAACAAAAACAAAAATTCATGATGGGGAAATTATATTGCCTTATTTCTAAAATTTTTCTATTTTCATTTTATCTCAGTTTGAAAAACATTTGTACCTTAACATCTATCTATCTATCTATATTATGTGGGTATTATGATTATGTAATACATGAATGAACTGCACGCTTTAACTATCATAAAATTGAAAAATAGAGCACACAGCGTTTTTTGAATTTTATTGTTAATAAAATTCAAATGAAACATGAAACTTTTTTCTAAAATTCAAGAAAAAAAAAATTTAGAATTTTTTTTTTAATTTTAAAAAAAAAACATTACCTCTTTTGAATTTTTAAAATTCTGGTTTTAAGATGGAAACTGAAAGAAATTTTTTTTGGAGAAGAAAAAGTTTTTTAATAAAAAAAAAAGTTTTTTTGCAAACTTTATACTTTTCTTCCGAAGTGAGAAAGTTTTTCATGCTCTTGTGCAAAATATTTAAATTTATAAAAATTTATCTATATAGGTGTATGTTATATAAATAATAGGATATCTATTTGACACAATAAAAAAATATATATATAGAATTCACCTGTACTTTTATATTATTATGAGGTGAGATGGTTGATTTAAGACATATGAAAAATAAATGAAATTATTATTTTAAAAATTTCAGTTCATATTTCGATGATTTCTAGTTGATTTCGAGAATGAACACGATTTAGTTTCAAAGCTATCCGTAAGTCATTTAGTTCCGTACAATATGTTGAAAATAAAATAGAATAATGATGCCAATTAAAGTTTCGTAGAAGATTACAGCAAAAAAATGTGTACTAAACAAGTACAGCGGTATCTTCAACTAACCACGTGCATTGCATTAAAAACTTTAATTCTAAACATTTTCAATAAAAAGTTTGATTTCGAAAAATTGCTCTATAAAAAATTTGAATATTTCCGAAAATTATATTCAAAATTTAAAAAAAAAATATGATTAAAATTATCTTGTTAGTTATGCCATCATTCAAATTCAATTTTCATTAAATATTTTGTTAAAAATTCGATACTCAAAATGAGAGGCTAAGAAGCAAAGTGGCCTAAACCTCACTCCCAAAAATTTTGCTTTTTCGTTAGAAATGTATTTAAAAATAAATTCCAAATTCAATTTTCAAATATTTCTAAACTCAAAAAGGGTAAACTCAAAATTTAATTTTTTCCAGTACAAAAATGGCCTAACCCACATATTGTAATAAAATATTGTTTAATAACACTTGTAATTCATAGACTGTATAACAAAAAAACATAATTAATTGCTGGACAAAAATTCGATTTTTGACCATGCGGCAAATTTTATATTTAAATGGGCTATGTAAACTTTTGCAAAGAAAATTAATTTAATTTTTAACTAGTATGACAAGGGAAAATTTTTTAAGAAAACTAGTCCCAAGGGGAATATCGACTGCTATTTGCATAATTAGTATATTGCTAACTACAAATATAAAAAACGTCTAGTTCTTTGTAATTATTAATAATTCTTATAAGAATAACTAATAAAAATAATTTTTTCATATAACCGCAGAACAGATAAATGACGTAATCAGATAAATGACGTTCCATATCTGTTCACATCTAACATTCAGATGGATGACGTTCCATATCTGTTGCCAATTTCCCTCAATCAATATTTGAAAAAATGTTTTCATTATTGAATTCCATTCACATTTTTAGAAGATTTCAAATTAAATCGAACACCATCTTTAAAAATTACGATATAAAAGCACGCATATTTGTCATTCCTGTGGATAACCCTTCTATGGTTCAAAAACAAAATTTTCTAGTTTTTCAACTTATTCAATCTATTTGACGGAAGTTGAAATAAGTTACTTAAAATTTCATGAAAAGACTATTACAGTATAATATAAAAATCCAGGAACTACACTTTTAAAGATAAGAAAAATAAAATAATAAAAAAAAACAAAAAACTTTTTCTATATTTACTTTTGAAAGTTTTCTTTACTTCCTTTTTTATTTTGATTTTTTTTTTTTAATATTAAAGCTTCGTTTTCAAATTTTTATTTATATTTTTTTTGTTTTGTTACTAAAAAACTATTATTATTAAAAAATTTTCAATTTTTTTACAATCTTAAAATTTTAAACGCAGTCTTTTACTTATAAACTAAATCAGATAGAGAAAACTTAAAAACTATCAAATCTGAAGGAGAAAATAAAATTTTTCTATTAAATTGTACACTTATTGTTAAAAAATATTTTTCTCTATAAATATTTTTTGATTCTCTTACGATTTAACAGGGATAATGAGTATATAAAAAAAATTATTTTAAAAATTGCATTACAAAAGAATTAGTAAAAAAATCAAGAGTAGAATAAAATTTGCTATAAGAATGAGAAAAAAAAATTTAAATTTTTTTTTGTATATTTTTTTACAGATTTTTCCTTAAATTGTCTCCGATAATTGTGTTACTCCATCTTTTTTGTGAGAAGGAGTGGAGGAATTTTCATGTACCGTGCTCATTACCTTTGGTAACACTTGAGAATTATTTATAACATCATTATTATTAATAATTGTATCTGTTTGTGAGAGAATTAATTGTGATCTCTCCGATTCTGTAAATGTTGTTGACGATGTTAATGGTATTGTTGTAACTTCTTGTATTAAACTATGTTGACTTGGACTTAATGTTGCATGTAATGGAACAAAAACACTAAAAATGAAATTGAAATTAATATTAAATTATAATTAATATGAAATTTTTATTTATTAAAATGTAAAAGAAGCCTAAAATTATCACTTGTGAATTATTTGCAGTTTTAAATAATTTCTTGTTTAGTTATGTTGGGCTTTGATATGAAATACCATGATTTCAAAATTAGTGTACCAAAATAATTTACTACTATGAATTTCTGTAATTCTAAATTATAATCTGAATATTCATAATTCTACTACCTATTACGACAATTTTTGAAGTCAAAGATTATTTCTCTATTTATTCATCAAAAACATCAAAATCAAATAAAAATTTTAGTCTTGTTCATCAGATTTTAGTTTTTGATTAGAATTCTATAATAATTTTAACTAACTTTTAATGTACACGCATAGCTATTTTTTGAATAATTTGTCAATGTTTTACGGGATTGAAAATATCATTTATAATTTTTTTTATTATATATATTTTCAACACGGAAATAAACATTATTTTACTATATCTGCCTGATCTCGGTGAAAAATTACTAAAACACAACATTTACCACCGCAAATGGGCAGAACATGATCCGCAATTTTTTTCATAGTTTTAATTCAGAATAATGATTTTGTTCATGAAACTTTAGCTCTATATAAAAAGCTAAAGTATTATACCTAAACTGCCATATTTTTGACAAAATTTTACAATATAAGAAATAAATTTAGTGCTGGCAACATTCCGTAAACTAGTGTATCAAAACAATTACAATGGAAATCGTCGAAAACCTTGATTTAGCATTAAAAAATAATTTATTTTAGCATAAAACGAATTTTGATTTAATATGGCATATTCTCTTACATTGCTATTATCAGATAAAAATTAAAATCCTTAATCGAATTGAATATTTTCTAAAATTTTAGTTTAATTTTTTTATGATGATAGATTAAATTGTTAGACCTGCAATCTTCATTGTATGTGACGTGTGTAATAATAAGTTTACATTCATATAGGGGGAAATGCTTTAGCACTGCTTCAGTTACATATCAGGAAAAAATCTATTTTTCAAGCTTTTTCTTGTTTTCATAAATTACCAATAATCTAATAATGTATTGCTGTCGAAATAAACAGTATTGCTGTCGTATTAAATAGCATTGTTGCCGCAATATAACAGCATTTCATTAAAATATGCTATACATACTTTTTCCAAAATTAGAGAATTTGATTTGTATAGATTGTATGCGTTGTAAAAATATTGACTTAAAAATAAATAAATAAATATTTAGTTAAGGAAACATTTTTTAATTATTTGTTATACATAACGTACATATATATTAAATAAAATTCAATCAATTAAATTGTTATACATATGTATATTAAAAATCTATTCATCATCGATAAATTCAACACCCATGTGTCACATTTATTATTGTTCTCTTTATTTTATCCGAACGTTATACAATATTTTACATGTTTAAATAAATATGTACCTTAAGATATTAATCGGAATAATTGTTTACTTTTTTATTGACCTACCACCAGTCTATATATTAAACAGTTTGAAGGAAATTGGAAATTTACAAGAAGACTGTAGCAACATTTGCGTCATGTGCAAGATAGAAGAAGTACATTATTATTTATATATAGAGTACTAATAACATCTGCTATTAATATTTCGGCGTCTTTGACAGATTTTTCTTTTCCTATTATGTACCTACTTATTTACTTATAGAATGTATAGTTTCTGTGTAACAAGATTAAAAGGCGACTTTATAAAAAGAAAAAGACCAAGTATATGTACAAGTGTCACGTTATTTACTTATCGTTATCTTATGCATCATTGCGTAAAATTTTTTACTTTTTTTTTCCTATTTTTACAAATATAATATGTTGCATACGCATATTCTTACCTTAATGATTGTGAAGAACGATATGCCGGCGGTGGTGTTGATATTCTAATACTATCATTTCTTTGTAAATTAGCGACTTCATGATGAAATAACAAACTGTAAAAATAAATAAAAAAAAAAATTAATTTTTAAAAATTTTTAAAATTATTGGTAATAAAAAAATAGGAGAGAAAAAAATAATTTGTACTTATATAAAATATTCACAAGTAGCATAATGAAAAAATAAATAAAATGTAAGCATCTTGTCGCGCCATCTAGAAAATAAATTTTTTCTATATTGATTTGTATTGGATTAACAATTAAAATTTATTTACAGATTAACATTTATTATGGTCTACTATTTGACTAAAGTGTTTACTTTTAATTTAGTAATTTTAACATCGATAATCAGAATCACTAGCAAGTTTTTGTTAATGTTGCTTTACAATAGAATAGTTTTGTTGGAAAACAGTACACTCAGATTCTTTTCATAATGACAAATTTAGTAAACTGCTCAAAATCATAGAAGAATATTTTTCATTCTCATTTAAAAATTTTTAAACAGTTTGAAAGAAAGTATCGATATTTATTTGAAGATCTTATAATATTGCTGAAATTTTGCAATTAGTATGACTCTAATTTACTGAATTAAAATAAATTAGTATTGAACAACAACAATAGAAAACGCCATAATTTTTTATTTAGCATTAAAAAAAGGAAAAATTAACATTAAGACAAATCCAAAAATGTACTTGAGATTTTAATTAATTTCATTCTAAAAATATACAGGCTTATTCTGTTGGTCGCATCACTTGAAGTAACGGGTTATTATTGAAAAGAATTTTGTTTTTTAGTATAGAATTTTGAATTTCAGAATTTATTTTATTCAGAAAATTAAAAAATTTTTGAATAACAACCCATCACTTCAACTGATGTGACTAGCAGAATATGGGTGATAATCTTCCTTGTATTATCTATACAAACAATAACTTGTGCTTTGTATTAAATAAAATAAAAAATATTGTTATGATTAAAACTTACCCAACTGTACATTCATTTAAACTTGTCATATATGATGGTGGCGGTGGTCTATGTTGAAATTCTGGATACATATAACCATTATATGTTTGTAATAATCTATTACCACAATATGGACTATTACAATTACGGCATGTTTCTAAATGTCTAAAACATGGACAATTTTCAATTTCATCTGGTATACTTAAACGCCATATTGCACCAGATATCACTAATAATGATACACCAATACCAATCATTAATAATGCAGCACTCAAATATTGTGTTGAATGTTCAACTAAACCAGTTGATCCAAGTATTATACCACCTAATGTGCATGCAACACCTCCTAATGCTAATATTCCAATAATAAATGGTAAAGATGGACGTGTAAACCATTGACGAAAACATCCTATACCACGTCGACGTCTTTGTATAATATCAACAGTTCCAATAGCCCTATATAAAATAATAAATAAATGTTATATAATAAACATTTTGTAATATTCAATAAATTTTTTGGTAAAACATCAATCATAAATTCATTCCTTAAATAACTACACAATAGACAATTTCTATTGTCTTGTTTTTTTTTGGCTCCACATTAAAAAAGATTAATGGTGGCTATTCTTAATTTATTTGAGATTCATTTTTGATTGTTTTGTGAAAAAAAAAAATTGGACAATTTATCAAAATAATAAAAATTATTACAAAATTCTTGGAAAATTTTTAGTTTTTATTTTTTTTTTAACGCAAATAATTAAATTTCCATTCCAGAATCTATAGTTAATGTGAAAATTAAAGTAAAAAATAAATATATGAAAATGCGGGTTAATGGGTTTGTAGAAATTCTAAATCTTATTATTATCTAATTTATATGGGTTCAGTTCATCGGCGTTCATCCTTTTGAAAATCTATTATATCAAATTTCGCTATAGTAATTACATTTGGGTAAGTGAACAGAATGAGTATTGCATAAAAATTTTAGAATATCCAGACTTGTAAGCGAGCAGACAAAAAATTTACGTACTTGTGTAAATTACGGAATTGAATTGTTTTTGTTGTGTTCTTTGAATTTTTCAAATATCGTGAGAATTTCAATTTAATAGGATTTTTTTCATTACCATGATACGATCGTAAAACCAATCATTTTAAAACTCATAGCCAAAAAAATAAAAAATAATAAAAGTAGAATATGCAAGTCCGAAAAGAAAAAATAAATTATCATCTATCATAAAAGATAATGGCAAGATGACATTAATTGTTGTTCCGCTTTTTAAAGAGGAAAGCGAACACAAAAAAAAGCAAAAAATCTCACAAAATTTATAAAAAAAAAATTCAATAGAAATGCTCTTATAAGAGTCTCTTAAACGTACCGATTTCTATTTGGTTTGCCTATTTTATTCTTTTTGTATAATTTTTAAACAAATATTACAAATGACCAGGTAAAAAAAATAAAAGGTAAAATGTAATTGAGTTTATTATTGTGTAATATTAAGGGTGCTTACAAGGTGTTACATTCATTTTTTGAACATTTTATTTTAAAAAATTATAAGGTATGAGGCTGTACACGTTACAGAAATTTAAAATTAATTAAATTTTCAAAAGTGGACTTAATTAATAACGGCATACAAGCTTCACTTAATATTTTTTTACTCCTGTTTTCACTTTGTCTCTTAGGTTTTTTCAATTTTCGGGATCACAAATTCGGAATCATTTAATATCACAAATTATTGATGGTTTCTTATTTTAATTATCACACAGTTTATGAGATGATTAGAATTAGTGAGGTCCAAATCATACCCCTTTAATCTATCAAATATTGCTTCTAGAATCTGTGACATAGATTTCAATATCAATTTCAAAATTTTTTTTTGAGATTCAAAAAATTTTAATTACACCATACACGAAAAATAAAAACCAACTTTCTTCTTTGAGCTAATATTCAAGGATTTGTAAATAACAAAATGGCGGATGTTATGAATTTTTTAAATTTTAAAAATTATTGCACCTATTTATAATACATATCCAGTCAAAGCACGTGTTCTCATATTACGTAACAACAAAAATTACATCCCGTTTACGTAGCACCCTATCATTAGCGTAAGCAATTATGAATTTAATGACGTAGCATTGCCACTTAAAGTTAATGTCAATTTTATTTTTAAAAACATGTGCTTTTTCCATTGCTTAACATTAAGTGGAAGTATCATTGAACTTTTTCAATAATTTTTCGGGCAAACCTTCCAAAAGCACGTGCTCTAATTTTAGGTTATCTACTACTTTTCACGGATTAAGTTTTGAGAGTTGAGATGCTCTGAATTTGCTATAGCAAACTGGTACACTCTATTTGTTAACTATTATTCTATAAATAATTTCAACACTTTTTTTTTTGCTATTAAAATTAAAAATTGCTTTCATTTATTTTTTATCATTGAAACTTAAAAATTAAGTAGAAAAAAAAATCTCCAAAAAGGTACTGAAATTTTTTTTTTAAATTCATTTTTCTTTTGAAAAAATCACTTTTTTTTTTTGGTATTTATTTTAACAATCTTTTCAAAAATTATAGGAAACAAAAAAAAATGTGGTATGTACGTGTGTGCATATTTACCTGTACTTTAGCCATTATTTTCCATTAACTGTTTTCTACTACTATTTTTTTTTTGTTCAGCATTTTGTTTTTTGTATTAGCCATTTTTTTTCAACTCTACATACAAAAAAAAATGGTGAACCAATTTAAAATAACTATTATTTTTAATAGAGTTTCACAAACTCTTAAAATCTTAAAAAAAAAACACGCTTTTAAAACTTCAATTAATGAATGCGAGAAAAATTACTGATGAAGCGAACCTACATCGTATAGCATACAGTAATAACAACTGTTCAAATAAAAGTTAAAGAAAACTTTAAAATACCTTTTTTTAATTTTTACAGCTTTCTGTATTTTAAGCGCAAACTATAACTTTAAAATGATGACCTAATAAAAATATCTGAAAATAATCATTAAAAAAAAAAAAGAACGTCGAATTCCAACTATATAGGTATATAGCTACATAAGTACATACATGTGCTTTTAAAGTAGCTATGTGGTCGTTTGTTGTATCAGTTCATAAAATTTAATAAAGTGATAATAGTAGTAGTGATATAATTATTGTGTGTTAGTAAAGAAGATAACGTGAGATTGAAAAGAAAATCACCTAAAAACATCGAATTTTTTTTTCTTGATTCTCAAGCATTTATATAGCGATTTAAATGTTTGTATACGTATATGAAAATTTTAATATACAGTCGAGCATTTCTAAAATACACTATGATTTTTAAAATTTTCTTAACTCTTCTCAATATGTGGATATTAATTATAGGTTGGTAATAGCTTGATTTACGTAAGAAGAACAAAATTTTCTGTTTATCGCATAGAACACGGAAATTCGGAAAAAGAATTTCTCGAAAATTGATAACACTTAAAATGTACTTTTAAGTCTGAGCAAGAGCCTGTGAAAACTTTTACTTAGGCTTTTATACGACAAAAATTAAATATTGCACACGGTGTATTGTCCTTAAGCTAAAGTAATTTGTAAACTGTTCTATGTTAGAATTTTAATTTTCAACTGTTTTTCCTTACAATTTAACTATTTTTCAAAAAATTCATATCTTACATGAATTAAATCGAATATTCAAACTGACAAAGAAAGTAAAGAAAATAATATTAACTTGAAGTAGATTCAGCAAAGTTGAGTTCATTATTGCGTCATTTCATTTTACTCAAATTCAGAGTTTTTTTTTGCAAAACACTCCAATTGTGTTCGTTAAACAAGTTAACTAACTTCTAAATTTGATTTATAACCTTCACTTCGTTTTAAACAGATTCTACTGTATTTTTTATATTATGTATTCATTGTATAGCAATAGCATAGTATTGGCATTTAATTAAAAAGTAATCTAAAGTGGTATTAGTATAAGCAATTTATTTTATAGCTTTTTAAAATTAACCAGAAAAATAAAGCATGTTTGATTCATTTAAATTGATGATAAGAGTTTGAGTGATAAAAGTCCCAATTATAACAAAAAATATCTCTTTCGATTTTTTATACCTCTTTGAACAATATAATAAAATATTTAATTTTTTATTTTATTTTTATTGATAATTGGTCTTTTTGGCTGCCGAAAAAAAAAATAAATGAAAACATTCTAATTTTAAGATGAAAATTGGAACATAATTATCAGAATCGATGAGTTTTGGAAAGGCAACTTATATTTAAAATCACAATGTAAATGTCAATTTTAAAGTGATGATAATGAACTAATTTATAAGCGATTTACAAAAGTAAAATTATGATCACTGATTACAAAGCACTGATTACAGAACATTTCAAAGAAAGTTTTTACAAAAAAAGGCTTTCTAATATGATAATGATTTGACTTGGCGGAATTATAAAGAAATTAAAATTCTTTAAAGATAAGCAAAGCAAAAAGAATTAAAAGAAAAATTATGTCAAAAAAGTTAATTCAGTTCAAATGAGTTAATTAATTTTTGAAAGTTTTCTTTTTCCCAATACAGTTGTTTAGCCTTGCTATATAAATTATGTAAGTGCATTATATGGTTAAGATAATTTAGAAGATTGAAGTCTGTGATTAAAAAATTAAAATTCGAAATTAAATAAATTTTATGACTATAGTTTAAGAGGTTAATTAAGTTATTTATTATAGATAAGTAAGTATGGGTAACTTTCTTAGAGAATATCCAAAATGTAACTTTATTTAAAATAATTCAAATATGTCATTGATTAATGAGTTAAAAATTTGTTAACCAAAGAAGGTAACTCTAATAATTAACTAATGCTACTGTTAAGAGGTGTGATATGTGATAATATTCGTCTTTTAATTAATTTTATTTAAGTTTAATAATAATTTCAGATATTTCTTAGTATTTTGATTGTAGAATTTTTTTTTGTATTTCAATTACATTATTTATAGATGTTAATTGCAAAATAAGCCTATTTGGGGAACTTAGATCTTACGAAATTTGTACTTTTTTGATAATATTCAAATAAAGTAGTATAGCATTATCGTACTAGTTACTACGATTCTTAGCAATTTACCGGAAAATTATTACCTTTTTTTTGTAAATTACAATGAAGTAAAAAAAATTAAGTAACAAGTCGCAATTACGAAAACATTTTATCACCCTAAGAATAAGAAATTTAATTATTAAGCTTAAAGATGAAATCAAAAGAGAATTTAAATGGTTTGCGTATTTGCTAATGTATGTACATTCAACATTCGCAGACGTAAAAATTAAATAAAAAGCTTTAAGGTTTAAATAAAGTTGAGATTAAATACAGGTTTAGCTCAAATAAAATATTTGGTTTTTTTGCAAGGTTAAGTTTTATATTATAAAAGCAATCATTTTAAATTTCTTATAATTATACAATGAGAAAATATAAAATTTGATTAGAACACAAATCTGTAGCTTTGACAAAAACTGGCTAGATTTTCTAATTTAAATCGAGCTAAAAAATTGAGATTGATTTTGTTGGTGCTTTTTCATTAATGATTTCAGAATAAGATAAAGAACACCTTACAAAATATAAAGGAAATTTTAAAGAATTCAGTTTTGAAAAGATTCTCTAAAATTTTCAATAATTTAAGAATTGGCAAAAAACTGAATTTAGATTTTTACAATTTTTCCATTTTTCAAATTCAAAATAAAATTTTTCAATTATCAAAACAGTGGAAAGAAAATAAAAACTTTGCAAATTTATAAATAATTATATCATTAAATTAATTAAAATAAAAATTGTTAAAAAATCAAAAAAAAAGAGCAAAAAATATTTTTCAAATTGATTAATGACAAGCATGGTAAAAATTAATGACGCAATAGGAAAAACCGCATTAATTATGCCCTACTAAAGTACAAAAATTACAACAAAAAAAAAAATAATGCATAAGTGAAAAATGCCAATAAGTAAAATTTCTGCAAATAAAAGAAAAAAATTAAATTATATTTTAGCTCGCTTTAATTCGACATATCATGAACTGAAAAACTTATTGGATTTCGATTAATTGTATTTGTATAACAATTGTGTAATAATTAAATAAATTGAAATAAATCATTCGAAATTAGATCAAATTTTGATTAAACTATAAAAACTCAATATCAGAACATTTTTAATTTATTTGGTGAGCAAATACACATTTGTTATAGAATAAGTTCAAAATTATAAATTAATTTTACGGTCAATTACAATACAAACATAAATACATTATATGCAATACATCACAATCATAATACAAATCTATATATGACGAGATACTTGGTAATAAATGCAAAAACAATCTAGATTTGATAAAATTATGAAAACCAATTCTTGAATATAGCACTAAACCCGTATCAAAATAATCTTAATAAAAAAAATAATATTATTCAAAACTATATAAATATTCTTTTCTGCTCGATTCCAAAACTATTCAGCAATACTTGGCCATAATCTGCTGGCTTATTACAAAATATTGTTATTGGTTTATTGTAAAAGATGCAAACTAAACTCATTATTTGATAAGTTAAGTTGAGTTCTAATTATTTAACTATACTGTGAATCGAAATTTTGGTTCTTGTAATGTTATTGCAAGTAAGAATGCTTTTAGATCTTAATTTTCAAATATAATTGAAATAATGCTTAGTTAAAGTTTATATATATAGACATAGCGTATATTTTAGTACTTTCTAAATTTCAACCGATTCTTTACCAGTTCCTCTTTTTCTTGCTTAAATGTAAATGATTTATACAAGGAACTAGAGCAATCTGGTAGTTGCATTTTTTTCGTCCAAATTATTGTTAATTTGCTTTTTATGAATAATATAATGTTTTGAAATCTGATATCCAGAAACAAATTAATAGAAAAATCTCGAATTAAGTGATAATTAAGCCAGGTTTTTGAAAAATAAAAATATCATATTACACTACCATAGGTCTCCATGTTGCAATATTGTTATTGCCTTCTTATAATATTTGTGCACAATTTTATTTCTTAAAATAAATGCAATACTACAATTTTATTGTAAATACTCATTTAAATTAGTTGGCTTAGTAGAAAAATCGGAAATCTCCAATTTGAATACAAATAAGGCAACAAATGCACGCATACATATAAGTACTATGTATTGTGCTAAGAACTATTTTTTTTATCTAAGAATTGTTAAAGTATTTTTAACAATTGTTACTTTTTAGTTAGAAAAAATGAAGGAAACTGAGCCCATGAGCCTAAGAAAACATAATTCTTTTTTCTTTTGTTGAAGAAAATCCCAATATTTAATTCTTATTGTTATATTTTATACATTTTGATATTGAATGTTACTCAAACAATAAATAACCAGGAGCACACAATATCATAACCTCTAATCTTAAATCAACCAAAAAAGGAAAAATAAAATCTCTAAGATAATAGAGAAAAAAAAACGTTTGTAAATATTTTGAATAATATGAAATTAAAAAAAAAAGAAACGTGTTTTTCCGAAAATTTTTAGATTTTTATTCGAATAATGTGCTAAAGGCATCACGTCGCTTTTAAATTAAATTTAATAAGAAAAAGGCAACATTAACATTACAGTATGCATACATAGCTTATGTTGATTTGTTTGTTATTGATAATAATGATAGTATTGATGTTGATGTTAATGATGATGATGAGAATGCAACATTTTTTGAATGATTTCATTAATATTTTTATTTTGATATTAATCCATCATCATATTCAACTGAATCCATTCTAAAATTTTACAATACTATAAGGTAATTAGTTACCCATATTTCTTTCCCTCTTCTCGTATCATATCCAAAGATTATGATTATTCTTAGTTATGGCTACCGT